ACTTTAAAAAAAAATTATACAGACTAAACATTGCTCCCCGCCTCACAAGCTGGGTACTAATTTTACTGGCTGCAACACTACAGTTTACCCACTGTGCCATGAGGTCAAAGGGGAGTCACATTGTTTAGCACTAACACATTTAATAACGCAAATATTTTGAAACTGAGTGAACATAATATCTTACATAAGATAGAGTAGGTTTTGTACCCTGTTCTAGAATGGGATGGGTGGATCTCAGATCAGTGTATTTTGCTTCATTAGTACAAGCGTGATTATACATTGTTTTTCTCACTTCACAGAAAAAGTACATTGTACATTTTTTATTATTTCTGTTCAGATGCTGAGCCTGGAGTCATCTGTGAAAGATTGAGCAAACATTGGAGTGTGGTTATTTTTTTTTTTTTTAATCAGAGTTTAACCTGGAGTGACATTAATTTGACTTCTAGGCAACTGTCAGCTGCCTCTGGATTATACCCAGGAGAGAGGCTCAAATTACACAAAGCACATTCTAAGGCATCCCTAGTGGACAATGAGTTGCCACTTTTTAGAGCTGGCATACAGCCACCCATATTGAAGTGAAAACATTGCCTCTTGACAACAGTAGCCAAAACCTTAAGGTGTAATCTGTAGAGAAGTCCTGAGAGCCATCTGAATATCTACAGTCACATAATAGTAATTATAATTAAAGATGGGCATGATCTGAGTTTCAGTGGTTCAGCCCAGTTTGATGCAGTGCCCACAGAGTTGTTCCAAAGGGGCCATACCACACTCCTTGCTCTTCTGCACGCTCGCCCACTCACCAGCTGCAGTGTGCTTCCCTCCCTCACCTCCTCTTCATGCTCACACGTTCACTGGCTGTAGAGCACTTTCCTCCTCTGCTTTCTCTCCACAATTATCCACTCAGCCGAAGAGGCAGGGCAAGTAAGGCCGTAGTGCTGCTGGTAAGTGGACAATTGCACATATATGGCAGAGGAGGGAAGCCCACTGCAGCTGGTGAATGGGCAAGTGCACAGAGGAGGTGGGGGAAAGAGACGCACTTCAGCTGGTGAGTGGATGAGCATGCAAAGGAGGCGGGGGAGGGAAGTATGCAGCACCTGCAGAACATCTGTGTGGGTGCAACATGGCGTTGCTCAAGCACGGTTTGTGCCCATCTCTAATAATAATTGTGTGTCTTCAAGTCAATTCTGACTTACGGCACCCTTTTCCAGGGTTATTTAGGTAGACAGTATTCAGAAGGTGCTTACATTCCTTTCTCCTGGGGTTGTCCTGGGGCTCTGCAGCTTGCCCAAGGCTATACAGGCTGACTCTTCTGGGATGCACAGTGTGAGAATTTAACCCCCAACTTTGGCTCTTCAACCTAACTCACTGAATTACTGAGCCCTTGAATGGTGTCAACTGGAAGAATCTACACATAGTCAAGCTTTTGGTGTTAAATTGAGGACCTGCAGGGTTGTCAAGCAAGGTTCCCTGTGAGAAACCCCCCAGACATGCCAGTTTCAATGTACCTGCTAAGTGAGGCATGTGGACCTTTCCCAAAAGAAGGATTTGTTCTTGTTGGTAGAAGAGAGGCCTTCCTGCCACCTTTCTTTAACATGTGGTGGGATCTGGGTAGAGTCTGGGTTTGCCCATGCCCCTCAGGCATTGAAGATAAGACAAGTGGTGCAGGTTACCTTGACCAATTTCAGAAGACTCAAGGTATGCCCTTCTCCCTGCCTCGCAAGCTGGGTACTAATTTTACTGACTGAGTCAACCTTGAGCTGGCTGTCAGATCCATTGGTATCAAACACTGACCATGTGTGGAGTTTTGGCTGCAACACTACAGTTTACCCACTGTGCCATGAGGTCAAAGGGGAGTCACATTGTTTAGCACTAACACATTTAATAAGGCAAATATTTTGAAACTGAGTGAACATAATATCTTACATAAGATAGAGTAGGTTTTGTACCCTGTTCTAGAATGGGATGGGTGGATCTCAGATCAGTGTATTTTGCTTCATTAGTACAAGCGTGATTATACATTGTTTTTCTCACTTCACAGAAAAAGTACATTGTACATTGATTATTATTTCTGTTCAGATGCTGAGCCTGGAGTCATCTGTGAAAGATTGAGCAAACATTGCAGTGTGGTTATCATTTTTTTTAAATCAGAGTTTAACCTGGAGTGACATTAATTTGACTTCTAGGCAACTGTCAGCTGCCTCTGGATTATACCCAGGAGAGAGGCTCAAATTACACAAAGCACATTCTAAGGCATCCCTAGTGGACAATGAGTTGCCACTTTTTAGAGCTGGCATACAGCCACCCATATTGAAGTGAAAACATTGCCTCTTGACAACAGTAGCCAAAACCTTAAGGTGTAATCTGTAGAGAAGTCCTGAGAGCCATCTGAATATCTACAGTCACATAATAGTAATTATAATTAAAGATGGGCATGATCTGAGTTTCAGTGGTTCAGCCCAGTTTGATGCAGTGCCCACAGAGTTGTTCCAAAGGGGCCATACCACACTCCTTGCTCTTCTGCACGCTCGCCCACTCACCAGCTGCAGTGTGCTTCCCTCCCTCACCTCCTCTTCATGCTCACACGTTCACTGGCTGTAGAGCACTTTCCTCCTCTGCTTTCTCTCCACAATTATCCACTCAGCCGAAGAGGCAGGGCAAGTAAGGCCGTAGTGCTGCTGGTAAGTGGACAATCGCACATATACGGCAGAGGAGGGAAGCCCACCGCAGCTGGTGAATGGGCAAGTGCACAGAGGAGGTGGGGGAAAGAGACGCACTTCAGCTGGTGAGTGGATGAGCATGCAAAGGAGGCGGGGGAGGGAAGTATGCAGCACCTGCAGAACATCTGTGTGGGTGCAACATGGCGTTGCTCAAGCACGGTTTGTGCCCATCTCTAATAATAATTGTGTGTCTTCAAGTCAATTCTGACTTACGGCACCCTTTTCCAGGGTTATTTAGGTAGACAGTATTCAGAAGGTGCTTACATTCCTTTCTCCTGGGGTTGTCCTGGGGCTCTGCAGCTTGCCCAAGGCTATACAGGCTGACTCTTCTGGGATGCACAGTGTGAGAATTTAACCCCCAACTTTGGCTCTTCAACCTAACTCACTGAATTACTGAGCCCTTGAATGGTGTCAACTGGAAGAATCTACACATAGTCAAGCTTTTGGGGTTAAATTGAGGACCTCCAGGGTTGTCAAGCAAGGTTCCCTGTGAGAAACCCCCCAGACATGCCAGTTTCAATGTACCTGCTAAGTGAGGCATGTGGACCTTTCCCAAAAGAAGGATTTGTTCTTGTTGGTAGAAGAGAGGCCTTCCTGCCACCTTTCTTTAACATGTGGTGGGATCTGGGTAGAGTCTGTGTTTGCCCATGCCCCTCAGGCATTGAAGATAAGACAAGTGGTGCAGGTTACCTTGACCAATTTCAGAAGACTCAAGGTATGCCCTTTGGTTGTAAAATAAGTCTTATGTGGAAACCCCACTGGTATTAGGAAGCACCCTTGAGAAGCAGAAAGACTAATACTCATGAGTGTAGAAAACCATCATCGTGTAAACTCCAAGAAAGGTGAGACAAAAAAATCCACAAAATAGTTTAATTCCACCACCGTTTTGGAGATGATCAGCCAGTCACTTCTCCTGGAGAGCCACCTGCTGGTGCACGATCTTACTTTGGACAGTTGGAAGGAGTGGAGCAATGGAACGTTGCCGCCCCCCCAGCATGCAAACTGAAATTCCATCTGCTTCCTTTTAGCATTTCTAAAATAAAACCCTAATATTCAATTGTTACAAATAATCTGATGCTATCCCTTCAGAGCTGTTGAAATGTGACATCAGTTCTTGTCGGTCTTTGTTGCTGGCTTCCCTTTTCTCTCTAATTAATAAATCGGGTATAATTCTAGTAGCCTGGCTTACCACTTTTGCTGTCCTAGGCTGTAAGAAGGGCCCTAAAGATGACCTATCTCATTTTCAATCTATTTGCCTATTATCCCTCGTTGGGAAGATTTGCGCTAGCTTTTTAGGCCTCAGATTAGAAGTGTTTATTAGTGATAAATGATATATTGGGGGAATAACAGGTTGCATCAGTCTGGTTTGATCTTGCTTGGTGGCTCACAAATATTCTGGTTTTTTTGCTTTTAAACTGAGGTGGCCAAAAGGAGGCAAATTCTTTTTCGGTCTTTAAAGTCTACTTTTGTTTTTTTTTTCCTTGTGCTTGTCTTTGGAGTAAATTACTATGGCCATTCTATAGCTAGGAGGCATACAGTTTTTATATAGATTTGCTGCAGTAATCAAGGTGGGACTGCTGCCTCTTAAGGTATCAAGACAAGAATGCATTCTTGTTCTTTATGTTTGACAGACCTTCCTTTGTTTTGGAGAAATAACCATCTGATCCAAGAAAGGTCCTCATTTTCCTCCATATTGATGCTGCTGTTCTGGTTTTTCACACGCTTTAGAGACTACTGAGCAGTTTTATTGAGGACTACAAGAATTGCCTTTGAATAATGAAGTATACTAGAACCAAAATATTGGCTTTCTTCAAGAGGAAGTTTAGATTACCTTGGGATATGGGATACCAAAGTGAACAAGCAGATTCATGTTCATCTATATGATTCTGTGAAGCGGTTGGTTACAGGGAAAACATACCAAGAGTAACATGGGATGAAATGTGGGAGGGCTAATCAGTTTTTTAATATGTAGGGTGACAGGTTTCTTCCAGCTGAATTCTTAAAGCTAAAAAATCATTTCACATATTTTCTGTGGGGCACCTGTTTGGGTTCCTTGCCTTAAGGACATATGCATGTATGATGGATGGATTGATGTAATATTACATATACCCTACCTTTCTTCCAAAAAGGATTCAAGTATTAGAAAAAAAAGAGTATTAAAAACTAAGAACAGAAAAAGAAGTAAAAAAATATAAAATACAATATTAAAACTAGTAGGTAGAAACAGTACTGAAAACTCAATGAAAACAAACAGAAATCATACAGTTCCATTTTAAGAACCCCCTTTTAGACAGCAAGTCACTCAGGGAAAGCCTGCCTGAAGATAAAGGTCTTTGTCTGCTTGTGGAAGGACAGCAAAGATGGGAGAAGCCTGGCCTCCTGTGGGAAGGAGTTCCAGAGTGTGGGAGCAGCAACATCTGTCCTCACCAGGTGTACCTGTGAGGGAGGTGAAACTGAGAGAAGGGTCTGCCTTGATCATCTTAATATCTGGGAAGGCTCATAAAGGGACATGTGATCTTTGAGATAACTTGGACCCAAATTTGGTTAAGGATTTGTAGGTCGAAGTGCTCACTGCTCACTGGAAGGACAGATCCTGAAGCTGAGGCTCCAATACTTTGACCATCTCATGCAAAAAGAAGACTCCCTGGAAAAGACCCTGATGTTGGGAAAGTGTGAAGGCAAGAGGAGAAGGGGACAACAGAGGACGAGATGGTTGGACAGTGTCATCGAAGCGACCAACATAAATTTGACCCAACTCCGGGAGGCAGTGGAAGACAGGAGGGCCTGGCGTGCTCTGGTCCATGGGGTCACGAAGAGTCGGGCACGACTTAACGACTAAACAAGGTCAAAACTAGCATTTGCAACTGTGTCCAGAAATTGACTGGCCACCAATGGAGCTGCTGTAACAGAGTTATGTGATCTTAGTTTCCAGCCGTAGCTAACAATCTGGCAGTGGCATTTTGGACCTACTGAAGTTTCCGAATACTTTCCAAAGGAGCTCTATGTAGAGCATGTTACAGTAATCCAGCCAGGATGTAAGTAAACCTTATGTCACTATGACTAGAGCAGACGTCTCCAGGAATAGGCGCAGCTGTCACATTAGCTTTAACGGTGCAAATGCACTCCTGGCCACCACCAAGACCTGGGCATCCGGTCTCAGGAATGAATCTAGGAGCACACCCAAGCTGCACGGCTGTGTTTTCAGGGAGAGTGTAACCCCATCCAGGACAAGGTAATCCCTAGTCCTTGATCTGCCTTTTGACTGACCAGTAGCACCTCGTTGTCTGGATTATGTTTTAGTTTATTCATCTTCATCCAGTCTTTACTGACACCAGACACTGAACTAAAACCAAAACAGCTTCCTTAATTTTAGGTGGCAAGGAAAAATAGAGTTTAGAATTATTATTATCACCGGTGACACTGACCCCCAAAACTCTGGACATCTCTCCCAATAGTTTCATGTAGATGTTATATAGCATGGGGGGGTGGGACAGAACCCGGGGGCACCACAGGCCAATGGCCAGGAATTGGACAGGAGTCCCCCAACAGCACCTTCTAAGTTCTCCCCTTCCACAAAGGACTGGAGCTGCTGCAAAACAGTGCCTCCAAGTCCCATCCTGGAGAGATAATCTAGAAGGATACCATGGTTGATTGTATTGAAAGCTACTAAGACGTCCAGCAGAAAAAATGGGAACACACGCCTCCTGTCCATTTCCCAGTGTAAGTCATCCTCCAAAGTTACCAAAGCAATCTCCATCCTATAACCAGGTCTGAAGATTGAAATAGATCTAGATCATCCATTTTATCCAGGAACCCCTGGAGCTGATAAGCCACCACCTGTTCCAATGCCCTGCCTGTGGATAGAACTGGCTGGTAACTATCCAGTACTGTGGGATTCAAGGAGGGCTTTTTCAGCAATGGTCTTACTACCGCCCCCTTCAATGATACCTTTCTGCAAAGGTCGTACCTTTCTGCAAAGAGGCATTCACCACTCCATCTGCCCACTCTGCCACTCCCTTTCTGACCATTTCTGTACGCCAGGAAGGGCAAGGGTCCAGCAGACATGTGGTAGCCTTCAACTCTTCAAGGGTCCTAACCACATCCTCAGACTGCGCAAAATGAAATTTATCCACTAACACAGGACAAGCATGGGCCATAGTTACATCCATAGGACCTGTGTCAACTACAGCATCCAAGTCAAAGCAGACCCCAACAATTTTACCTGCAAAGTGTTGTGCAAATTCTTCACGGTGGTCCACAGTGTGGTCTGCATTCTCTTCCTGCGGGCCACCATGTAAGAGGCCCTTGACATATTAGAGCTGTGCTGGATGACTCTGTGCAGATGCAGTGGTGGCAGAGAAGAATGACTTCGTCACGCCCACCACTGCCAAGAAACTCATACTTTCTTAAGGTTTTAAGATTAATATGAAGGATCTCTAGGTGTGCTGGAGCTGCCTTAACCTGGATCAGAACTCTTTAAAGTTAGTTCCATAGCTGACATCTGTGATACCATTCATTATTTGCCTGGCTTTAATTGGGCAAGGATCTAGAGACCTGATATTGTTTGCTTCTATTTTATTTGCTGTTTAAAAGATATGTTAATGTTACAAAGATATGATGGTCTTTCAAAAGGTGTGAGTTGTGAGCTGTCTGTTTTTTGCCTTCTGCTTTAAACCTGCCTGCCTAAGAACACACCACTCGGCTGATATTTTTCTAAGCCAGAAGTACAGGTCCAAATCAGCACAGAAATACATGGAATGCCCCCCCCACTTCCATGACCTCTTTGTGGTTAACAGAGAGAATGGAGCCGATTAAGTGGAGGAACGTCTGTGTACACACATGCACAAATGATTGAGCAGTTCCTTTGTTGATTCCCCAAATGGAGCTGAAATAATTTAGATTGGCAAAATAGGGTGAAGGATGAGCCTTAATTCCTCTATCACTTCCCTTATTATTGCATTCTGTAATTTTAAAAAATTACTTAGGAGATCAATCAGTCCTTGTCTTGGGTCATAATGTTATAATTTGCTTCTTTGTTGCTGAAACTTGGAAACAGCCCTGACAATGCACATTCGTAGAACTGCAAAGCCAGAAGTGACTCAGAGGATATCCTGCCTTTAGAGGCAACCTTGTCCCCTATAAATCAGAGTTTGGTGATGTTACAAGCATATGTGAAGAGTAGACTAGCTCAGGATGTCTGCAAAAGCTATTAACTCCTGGACTTCAGCTAAATGCCCTGAGGCCATATTCTGAACAGCATCCTGGCATTGCCCTGATACCTTGTGCTACAGTTCTCACTATGTTATAAATGTGCTGGCTGGGGATGATGGAAACTATGGCACAGAATGCAGAGGTAAAACAGGCTCCCTTATACAATCCCAGGACATTCCAATCCAGAGGTAACATTTCTTCTGAAAAATCTGAGTTTCATGTTATTATATGCGTTCCCATCCCACTGTATTTCAAAGCACTGGGTTGTATTAAAAATAAAATAATGTGAAAAATGAAGCAAGAAAACAAAAGCATAAATCCCCTCTTGAGAAGTGTTTTCAGAACAACCCCTCCACATTTTTGGGAATACATATTCTGTGTATGTGTTCCCTGTTGGAGAGAGATTGCAGGGGTGGCAGAGGCAGTATGTGTCTAGGGCTAGGCAATCATGGGGAGAAGTGCAGGCCCACGCTGAGATGTGATTGCACCTCAGGCAGGCAGTACACAGGCCAGGCCATGCTCCTCCAGGGCCTGTTTGGCCCTTGGAACTAGAGAAGGTTCCCCACCCTGGTCTACTGTGTTTGCTTTATTTTTTGGCATGCTGGGTTTTTTCCCCCTTGAGGAGAAGTCTCTGTGCAGTGCCAGCAGCCTGGAAAGCACAAAGTTGCCATAAGATGGTGGTTAATGGTCTGCTCCCACTCACTTGAATTTGGGAATCCTGACTGTGCTTGGCAGAGTTTCATAGAGAAAACTGTGCCACTGAGTCAGTGGAGAAACAACACTGTTCCAGGAAATGGAACAATTTATGCTCCTCAGGCAGAAGGAATTACGTCACTCTGCTGTGTCAGTTGACCCTGCATGAACTCATAAAGAAGTCCCTTCAGATACTGGTGCCATTAGCCAGACTGGGATCCTCAGCAGAAGGCTATTGTTCATTTAGTTGTCATCCTTGTAACCATGTAAGGCACAGACAGGATAAATTTGCTTCTTTTCTGTTCTTTAGTGAAAAATTTTAGTATTCATTCACCATATGAGAACAGGAATGTCCCAGCATCAGCAGAAGACCATATACAGTGGTGCCTCGCAAGACGATTGCCTCACAGGACGATTGCCTCACAAGATGATTGGTTTTTGTGATCGCTGTGGCGTTTTGCAAGATGATGTTTTCTATGGACGATTTTTGCAAGATGATTTTTTCCTATTGAGATGTATTAATTAGATTTCAATGCATTCCAATGGGGAACCGCGTTTCGCAAGACGATGTTTTTACAAGACGTTTTTCGCAGAACGAATTAACATCGTCTTGCGAGGCACCACTGTAACAAGAATTGAAGGCACATTGATAGTGTGCTCCTACAATTACTAGGTTATTGCTAGAGATGATTTTTCATACACCTCTGAAAGTACTACAGTGGTGCCCCGCATAGCGACGTTAATCTGTTCTGGGTTAATCGTCGCTATAAGGAAACATCGCTAAACGGAACGGAAAAAGCCTTCGTTTAATGCGTTCCCATGGGGCCCAAACTCACCGTTCAGCGGTGTTCCTCCATAGCGCTGCCATTTTTGCGCCTTCGGTAAGCAAGGGCAGGGCACGAAAACACTTGCGGCGGCCATTTTGGGCACCCGGTGGCCATTTTGGAACCGCTGATCAGCTGTTCAAAAAACATCGCAATGCAAAGATCGGTAAGTGAAATGCTTACTGATCATCGCAATGCAATGTTTTACCCATTAAAACATCGCAATGCAATCGCATTAGTGATCTAAAAAATAGATCGCTATGCAGATTCGTCATTAAATGGTGCAGTCGTTATGCGAGGCACCACTGTATGCATATTATTTTGCTTGCTATTAACATCAAACAGTTGTATAAAATCCATTTTTCTTCACACAGGGCACAGAAACACTCTTCTGGCTATTATACGTATGGGAAACTTAGATCCTGAGGGGATTAAGCAGACAGAAGGTGTTAAAAGAGACAAGAATGGAAAATGAAAGGGAAGTGAATCGGGTGGAGTAAACTTGTTTTACTGTGGGAGGATATGAACAATTCTGTGAGTTGGGAAAAGAAACTCCCCTCTCCCCAACTTACTAGCTCATTGAGAAGCTGAACCTGTGAAAGTACATTCATTTTTGATTCTCTTATATGGGCTATTCATTTGAACACACAAAGTGTCAGTGCAGGAAAGGAAGATACAGTTCCTGCTTGGTTGGCCTTGAGCTCGAGAGACAAGCCCTTTGGTGTGAGAAAGAAGCTCAAAGAAAACTTGCACATTTTCTAACCTTGGCATTTAAATGCTGCACTATATCCAGAATTGGGGCATTGTGAACTCAGAGAAACAACAGTGATTAACAGCAACATTATTTTCATGCCAACTTGTAGGTCATGTTGAGTTCAGCGGATTTTGCTCCCTAGGTGACTGATTACATATTGTAGTTTTGACCTAAGAAAACTAAAAGGTATTGTTTTTTGTAGTATACACAAAGATTTCTTTTTAAAATAATTAATAGAAACCTACAAAATTAAAGTGGGATGAGCATATAAACCACATCCAGCCGCCATTTTTTCAAAATCCTTATGATTCCAGAAAAAATAGTAGTTACCAAACTTCTCTCCTAATAGCCAATTCTATTTGCAATTTCCAAAAGCTGAATTTAAATTAAAACATGGAAAGATACTCCTATTGGTGTGACTACTTTGGTTCTCAGTCTTAGAAGAGGTGGTGGTAGGTGTACGGCTACAATTTGGGGCAGCTAATGTACGTGTTCACCCTGTGTCTGTATTTCCCCAAATTGCACAAAGTAAAACACCCAGTGTGATGTAGTGGATAGAGTGATGGATTAGGACTTAGGCGGTCTGGATTCAGATCTCCACTCAGCCATGGAAATTCTCTGAGGCTGGGGAGTGGAACTGGAAAAACCACCCCTTAAATATCTCACTTTGAAAGTCTTATTAGGGTCACTGTAAGTTGGTTCCAACTTGATGGAACATATCATTGACACAGATCAAAAGGGCTAATTTACTAATCTGAATGTGTGTGTGTTTCCTTTAGACATTGTTCCATCCTAATAGTGGGGCAGCTGGAAAATATGGAGAGATACAGGCTCTTCGACTTGACCAATACAAGGCATTTTATCTCACAGGTAGGTCACTTATTTGGATTTGCTTGATACTTTTAAAGGATTTTATGGGATATTTTTCCACTCTCCTGTTTAAAATAATGAGACCTGGATAAAATGAGTCATTTCATCAGTTACCTTTTTCCAGTACCAAAACTCAGTCAAATCTAATCAGAAGTATATCTTACACGTTTGTCCAGATCCCTTCTATTCTTCCTCCCTTAAAAGAATCCAGGCAGAAGGGAAGGATTTAACATTGTATGGGATGGTCTTTTCAATAAAGCACATAGAAGGCTGAAGGCTCTGCAGACAGGGAATTGGTGATGGTTTAGGATAATTATAAACATCCAAATGTTCTGCTGCATTCCATGGCATCTGAGTGGATTCTACTTGGAAGCACAGAACATCCACTTAACCCACGTCTGTTCTAGTTTTCTGTAATACAGGTGGTGGGTATTTATTAGTAGAATTCTAGAACTGTAGAACTAGAAGGAACCTCAACCTCAATTGAAGCAATGCAGACCTCTGGGTAGTGTGGGCGGCATACAGAACCTCAACCTCAATTGAGGCAATGCATAGTTCAGACATCCCTAATAGATGGCCATCCATCCTCTGAAAACCTCTAATAAAGGAGAGTTCACCACTCTCCAAGACAGTTCATTCTACTGTCAAACAACTCTTAATGTCAAGTTCTTTCTAACGTTTAGGCAAAATCTCCTTTCATGTCATTTGGATCCATTGCTTGAGGTCCTCCTTTCTGGAACTAGAGAAAAGAAGCTTTCGCCATTTTCTGTGTGACACCCCTTCAAATATTTGAAGATAGCTATTGTACCATCTCTTAAATCTTCTCTTCTCCAGGCTGAACATATTCAGCTTCTTCCTTTTATCATCCTGGTCACTTTCCTTTCAGCACATTCCAGCTTGTTAATATTCTTCTGAAGCCGGGTGTTCCAGCAGTGGACATAAGTATTCAAGGTGATTGCTGACCAAAGCAGCATCAATTAGTAATATTACTTCTGTTGATTTGAAGACTATACTTTTGTTGGCACAGCCAAGTATTGCACTTCCCCCCCCTCTCCTTCTGTGGTGTCATACCATTGACCACTAAGACCCCAGATCTTTTCATACATACTACTACTTTCACCCAACTTATATTTGTGCATCTGTTTTTTTCCTGCTTAGATAGAACTTCACATTTTTCTTGACTGAAACATTTTGCTTATCTTGGCCACGTTCTCTGTATAGGTAATCTTGAATCTTGATTTTGGCTTCTGAAATATTAGCCATCCCTTCCCAGTTTGATGTCATATCTAGATCTGATAGGCATCCCCTCCATGCCCTCATACAAATAATTCATAAAGATGCTGAACAATAGAGAGTCCAGGACAAAACTCCATGGCACCCCACTTATTCCTTCTGTCCCAGATGACAAAGAACCATTGCTGAGCACTCTTTAACTATGGCCCATCAATCAACTACAAATCCATCCAACAGTAGCAATGTCTAGCCAATATCTTACCAGCTTGGCTGCAAGAATATGGCGTACCTTGTCAAAGACCTTGCAGAATAGATACTGTTGAGTTACTGTATAATTTATGCCTGGAAAAGAGAGATGACACCACTAGCAAGGAGCTGTTTTTGGTGATTAAAAACTTCCTACTTTTGTCTGGTGGCTTTTCCATTCCTTTCACCATGTGGGAACTGTGTGGCGGAAAGAGGAAGTCTTGAATTACAGAGAATCTTCCTCTGTTAGTAACAGTCTGGCAGCATTTTCAGAAATTCTCCTGTCCCTTGTGGACTCTCTTCTTTGCGTTTCTGACCACAGCATATGATCCTGTATTTGTTCAATTTCTATTCCTAGCTTTAGATGAGGTGGACAGAACTCAGGTAACTGAGATTGCAGGTGACTGTAAGACACTAAGCTCATAAGATACAACAGTAAGTTAGACCAGAAGTTCAATTCCCCATTGTGTATCCAGGGAGAAGAGACAGCCTGTGTAGCCTTGGGCAAGCTGCACAGTCCCAAGGCACCACCAAAAGAAGGGGATGGTAAACCACTTCTGAGTATTCTCTACCTGGAAATCCCTGAAGGGGGGTTGCCATAAGGTGGAATTGATTTAGCAGTACCTCATCACCACCATTGTTGTTGTTTTTATACCTGGATAGAGGTTAATCAGGAAATCCAACTGGCAAGAGGAAAATATTTTAGGAGATGGTATTCTCACTTAAGAACTGCTATACTATCAACTCTGATATACTGTAAGAGATATAAAGCTGTGAGCTTGGACATCAGTCTTTCCACAGGGATGCTGCCTCTTCAGGACAGTGGTTCTAGATCAGTGATTCTTAGTATTGGCCTTAATTTTAAGAAAAGCCATAGCTCAGAGGCAAAGCACCTGCTTTGTTTGCTGTGTTTTTAAGGTCATTCAAAATCATTAAAAGGAAGGACCACGGGTTAATTCCCAGCCTTCAGGTAGGGCTGGGGGGGAACTCCCTGCAGAGCTGCTTGCCAGCCAGTGTTGACGATACTGGACTAAATGGAACAGGGGTGTAACTCAGTATAAAGAAGCTCCCACTCTTTCATTTGGATCCAAAGAGTCTACCTTGGAGAACACATTTCCTAGCAACAAATAGCCAAAGAGAGACAAAAAAATGCATCCATCCTCCTGCGCTCACTATGCATGTCACCTGCAAATCATCTTGCAACTTAAGCAGGCACAGTGCATTTTAACGAATGGGAAGTGACTGAAAAAGAAATGAAAACTCACACCAGAACTGGCACATGTTCATTATGCAGCCTAGAGGCAACCAAAGGTCACTTTAATTAGGTACACCTTGAAATGCAGAATACTTCATTACTCTCCCAGCAGACCACATGAGGGCACCTGACTAGCTTTCTCAGGCCTCTGATACTGCTTGCAGCCCGTCACTTCACGGTGAGTGTCATATGTGGGACAGTCCTCTAGAAACATATAGGCAGCTGCAGATTCCAGTCTTTTGATCTATAATTACAAGGCTTTGACATGGTATCACTCTCACCAGATGATACGGATATGGACTGTCACTGCACATAATTGAAACGGTTCTTCCCCCTACCCTTGCTTTCCTCCCCTCTGGCTTGCCAGTGAGTCCTCAAGGCGTGACAGCTATATTTTTACTGTATGTTTCTATATATACCCTCTTCCTGTCTTCTTCTGGATGTGGCTGCTCATGTACACCACGTCCTGTGGTGATGTGAAATGCTCCTCTCTGTGTCCATTTATTTCTCCATGGCACTCTTGTTACGATCTCGGCATGTTTACTCCATCGAACAAGGCAAAGTAGTAAAATCTCCACAATAATTGTCTTCCTACTGCATCATGTCATTGATTTCAGCAAATAATTTCAAAGTGTGAAGATCTTAAGACTCTGCTCCATGCGTGTAGCACAGTGTGTGTCACTGGTTATCCCTTGATAGAGCACAGCCTTTTTGCAGGGTTTTGCAAATAAGTTATGTGTTAAGAAATATACTTTCAGTGTTCAGAAGGTAGTAATCTGCATTTCTGGGAATAAATCAAAAGCATAATGAAAAATGGCAGGTTTGAAAGGGAGCAGAATAAACCAACCCTGGGAAAGTATGAGCTACACACAATCAAGTACATCTGGTCCACAATGGAGTAATTGGCAACCTAACGGATAGAATCGTCAGAGTGCCAGAGTCAGTCACTATCATATCCAGTCACACTTTGGTACCCAGCTCTCAGACTGAAAGACCAGCAAACAAGGGAGCATTAAACCTTCTCTCAAAGTGGTAGAAGTGGCGTCTTACAGTGACTAATTTGTCCTCCAGCTGGTCCCTGATGAGAAACCAAAGGGCAGGTCTATGACTTTCTAAGAGTTAGCAAATTATAACTTCCTGTGTCCCTCACCACTGGCCAGGCTGGTTAGGAGAAACAACAGTCTAATTTGGGGTGCTTGATCTCTTTCCAGGTGGTGCTAAGGCCTGTGACGGACGTATTGGAAAAGAACACCATCACCAGCCACCTCTCATTTTTAACTTGGAGAATGACATTCAGGAGCAGCAACCCCTGGACATTCATAGTGAAGAGTACCAAGCTGTCTTGCCAGCAGTAAGGGAGGCTCTGGCAGACGTTCTTCAGGATATTGCGACAGACAACGTATCTGTAGCTGATTATGCTCATGACCCAGCTGCGACGCCCTGTTGCAACCCACATCATGTGGTCTGCAGGTGCTAGTTGCCTTATTCTGATTTAATCCTTGGAAATTGTTTGAAAGATACTGGATGGATACATAGACTTCAAAAAGGATGGGTACTATCTGCACCATTTTTTCAAAGCCTGAACAATTCCAAGGAATATTAGGATGTAGAACTCTGTTATGTGACAACAGGGAAGTGTTTTTCTAAATAAATTGCAAAATGTAGGACAATTGCCATTTATTTATTCTTTTACATAAAATTACTAAAATCACTTGACATTACGCTCCCTTGCGGTTTTAAAAAACTGCTTGTGTATTGGTTTTTGAAAATGTGAACATCTCAGTTCAGGAACCACTGCTTTCAGCAGATGTCAGCTCAGTTCAAAACTAAAAATAGAGGTCATATTTATGTGTCTATACCACCAAAAATGGCAACCTGTTTAGCTCATCCCTATTTAGCCTATTGAGTGTAACTTAGCTGTGTCCTAATAATACTGACAGTATTCTGCATTCAACTGATCCCACTCTGCATCAAAGTGAAACAGAGGACAGTTGTGTGATGTATTATGGGAGGAAAGTAGACACAAGATTGCAGCTCTTAGTAGCAACCATGGGTATGTCATGAAGGCTAGTGTTTTGCCCAAGAGCCTGAAGACATTTGACAGTTAAAGTCACTAAAGATCTGATACAGTTCATAAAGTTTGAAAAAAATTATGGCAGATTTGGGTTTGTATACATTGTGAATATATTTACACACCCATCTTATTTGCTTTTTGCTCTAATAACTAAAATTATGCTAGACTGTTTACCAGTTTCTGCCTGCAATCATGAGGGTCTACATCATGTGCATAGAGTAAGAGACGCAACTGCTGTAGGCCATTTAGAGGAGTGGTACATAAATACATGAAATAAATAAATGTTCTTTGAATCTCTAAAGAAATATATCTGAAAGAGCAACTGAGACATAGATAATAAGCTGGCAGGGTACAGTAAGAAAAAGGCGTCAATTTACAACTATGTATGCAACAATGGCATTTGTAACATTTAATCAAGAACTGTCATCTTCAAGGCAAAGTTTAAGATGCAGGTGGAAGAGAGTTGCTGCTGATAACCATCATGACTTTATTGACAATTATTCCAGCAAGGCTCCAACACTGTATATGTTGGGTTTTCAAATTTTTTTTAGTAGGTCACTGCAAAAAAATATTATGGATACAGTATACTGTACAAAGACAATAGACTCTTTATAAGTACATTTATACATGACATAAATTAGAAAAGGGAAAGTGTGTATAAAATTCGGGCTCAATCAGGATATCTTCTACACTGTGGTTCTCGAATATGAGGCAATGTAAATAATACAGTACACGTAGCAAACCCACACAGCGCTCCTGGAAAATACACAAAGGAGTATCTAAACATACTGTGTTTAACAGCTGCGGAGTATCTCTGCTTCCCCCTCCCTTACTTGTGGGTTCTTCCACATTCCCCTTTTGTCTTGCTGTTTTTCAATCTACCTCCCATCCGCCGCTCTGTGCCGCTGCTTGCCACTCCTCATGATCTCTTCACTTTATTCGTCTGGCTTCCACGGCACAAGATTATCTACCAAAACCAAAACAGAAGGGCCTTACTTTTCCTGGTAATGTGCCGTTGAGCATGGGCTGCTGTAAACAGACTTTGCACACATGCAGGGGAAGCAGCAGGGAGGCAAGTGTAATGCAGCTGTTTTCTTTTCCGCCAAGCCCCGGGGGTGCCTCTGGGTCAACTTCATCCTTTTGTCCTTGACCTACAGGAATTGTCTGACTCAGGAATGATGAACAAAATCCAATGCCCCATCTGGCATCTGACCTAGAATTCTAAGACTAAAACTGTATTCCTGGCTTAAACAATGAATCACATCCTTGTCTTGATTGTAAACAGAGCACATACTGGGTCACTTGGAGCGTCAGTTAGTTTAACTCCAGGAAATAAGCAAGGCAACCGAATTAGCATGTTGGAACAAAAAGCACGGCAACAAGGACATGCAAGCAGAGCAAGGTTTGTCTCTTACAAAATAAACACAACACTTATAATTAGTATTCTGTTACATGGAAGGGGCTTGCTCTGTTGAAATACACAGGGGAAATATCTGCGTGGATCCTCCCAGCTATTTTTAAAGCTGTTTTATTTCTTATTTTAATAATATAGATTGTCAGTACTCTCCCACAGTTCTGCAATACCCTTTCGTCTTGTTGGCCTTCCCCATCCAGATTCCTGCCTGCAGTATCGATACCTCTGCCAGTTATAGCAAGCCAAAGACAGAAAGAAAGTTTCTTTCATTCTAAAACTACAACTCTTGTCAATTATGAAAGCACACCTGAATCACACATTAGCAAGCCAATAAAATACTCATCCTCCCAGCCTTATACAATGGAGTGACGACACTAGCGAGTCTTTCTGTGCTGTTCTTTAGAAGTTGCTCTTCTGTAAACAGGCACAGAGAAATTATGTTTAGAAACAGAGGTTTTGTACTTGCTAGATCCCAAGATGATACTTATCTGCAATACAGGGCGGCAGTTTCTCACATGGCAACTTCAGCACATGAAAAGTGGTGCCAGGAAGGATAAAGTATGCACTTTACTACCTTTGAAGGGCTTGCCCACTCTGCTAGATGTATGCAAGATGTGATGCATGCACTGTGTCAGTGAACCATGGGGAGGAGAGTTCGAAGACCTCCGATTCTGGGCATAGAGAATGTATATAGGAATATATGTACTGTATTAAACTACAACTCGGATGTTCACCTCCCCATCTCCTGCCAGCAGTAAGTAGTGGTGAGAAAGTTTGAGCAGCAGCAGCATAAAAATTATACTGAAGTATTTATTTCCTATACAGAAGTGAGGTGTGGGTAAGAAAATTCTGGGGAAATTTATAGGTGGTACACAGTGAGCAGGCATGCACAGCAGTTCTGGACTCCTGCTATTAATGTCGACATGCTGTTTAGAAACCCTTTTTTATGTTAGTATTTGCATGATTCCAGAAAACAACTGCTTGTCATATCATCCCCACAGAGCTCATTTTTATGAATAAAGTGCTTTATTGCCAGACACTATGAAGAAGAATGCATAAAGTACTATCACCAAAATAAATAAATGGCGAAGTAAGGTAAGAAGGTCAATTAGGCAAGTAACTAGAATTCTACAAATCCTAAGCAATATTATAAGCCACCCTTATTTATTAAGGCAGCCAAGGGGAAAATGAAACACAAGCACTAAGTGCAGGAGTTTCCCGCCACCACCCGCTCAGAGAGGTTGCCCAGCATGTCTGAGCAGATATCAGTGAACCCAAGAAGCTCGGTAATCATCTGCACACGCACAGTAAATGTCACGATACAGCCTGGAAGGCAAAATAGCAAAACCACCAACCCGTCATACTTTTATATATAGTATCCGTCTTCCCACCCATCTGTTTCTTTTCTGAACACTGCCTAATTCCATGTTCCCACTCATGTACATATGAGAGGCATGGGTTATTAGTTGGAGAAAACCATAGTGCCTTTGCGGAGCAGAATACTAGGAATTCTGCTCTGACCTACCCAGCAAGGGACCGTAGCTCTGGGCTCAACGCTGGCTTCTTCTCAGAAGCAATTAGCGATAAAAACCTACACCCACTATATGTCTTGACAGAAATAAAAAGAGGCAGGGGAAAGGGCAACAGAGTGGCAAGCAGCTGAAGCAACAGGGGCCAAGTGGTGAGTCAGGTGGATGGCCAACCCACCTTTCCCCGCAAGAGCGTGAGAGGAACGTCCCCATGGCTGTGTCTGAGGCACTCCAGTAATGCAAAACCATTCAATAGGGATGGAATGATTCAGAAGGAATCAGATCACTTTCATGTCCCTGATCCAGCTTTCAACTCTAGCTGGATTGTCCCAGAGCTTGGAAATAATGTGTTAGAAGTAACATAATCAGCTACCTTCTTTATCTAACCAGGGTGCAAACATGTTTGTTTTCAAACATGACTTAATGGCTCAGATCCAGTAGAGAGCTACTATCAGAGAAGGCCCGTTGAATCGATGGAACATACAGAGGGTCTAATTCATCAAATCCCCACTAATTCAATGGGCCTACACTAATTGCAACTTACTACTGCATTTCACCCAGTGAGTGGGAAAGAACTGTTTCACTGGTGCAATAAGCAACATTGCTAGTTACTTTTAACAGTTAATTTTTGTTTTTAAGGGCATGTTGATGCAAGTTTTTCTAGTTTTATGCCATTCTCTTGTCAATCTAAAATCTCTACTCCACCAAAAAAGAGAATGAAGTAGTGGAGCAGCCAGAGTAACACAAAGCGTTGCCTTTCTGACATGGTAATAAGCGAGCAACGTGAACAAATTATTCACAGAACATGATTATGAGTAATGGAAGAAACTAATTTAAGAGTAACTTTCCAAGCTCTGGCCATTCCCACATGAGCCCTCTCCTTATTGCCATTTGTCCCAGTCAACTTCCTTACACTTTTCTGTGTTGCCATAGCTAATATAAATAACTAGTTATGCCAACTTGGTGTCCACTGGAAACACTCGAGTGACATAAAAGGAATTCTGTGCCACTTCTTAGAAAACAGACAGACTGAATTAAGAGACACTCCATCCATCAGAGACAGAGAAAACACTGTCCAACATAAAAACAAAGATTTCCAGCATAAATCAAGATAGCTTCTCTTTTAAAACAAAAGATATGGCTGGTCAGCGGGCTCAATACTGGAGATGAGCAGAGGTGGGGTATATTCTGGGGCTGCTTCTCTCACACAGCTTGGCTGGACCTCCCCCAAAAGCCCAGCAACAGCAGAGTGGGTGCCTCTACTCTGAGCAGGTGCCCTAGCGTTGCATTGCCAAGGTTTGCTCACTGCAGCTGCCCAGTTCCTCTCACGGAATTTGCCCTGTTCACCTTCACTGACCCCACGCTAACGCACCACCAGCCTGTCCGGGACAAGTGGGAAGGGGCTGAAACGTGTCAGCACCGCCTCTTCTAGTTTGGTTCATTTAATCCAAACATAACCAGGGCCCCACAACTTGCAGGGTTGCCTTAATAAGCTCCTCTTACCAATGTACAGAGTATTTGCCTTATCTCAGAGTTGAAAACTCTGCAAACAGAAATCCTGTTTCACACCTTGAACACGCCCTTCTCTCGAGAGGGTTTGTGTGGAAGCCAATGAACCGGCTGGGAGCATTTAAGACTACATATACATATTTAAATTAGGTCTGCATGTGCCTTGCTCCTCAAGCCAATCTCCCATCACAGCAAGAGCTATCTGCCCATTTCCATGAGTATAACAGCCTGACTTGGCCTGCAGAAGAAGAGAAAAGAGCAGCTCTTCTGGAAGGAGCAGGAGGCCCAGAACACAGGCTTAAGTACTCCTAATGCTCACAGGTGGAAATTCATTTTCGTCATCCAGACACACGGGCCCAGTGGCAAATTCATGCTCGGGTATAATCTCTCCCCGAAGGGCTCCTCCATCTTCTGAGTAACCTGCAAATAAAACAGGCGAAAATACTATAAACAAATACAGGGAAGGAGCTGAGCAGACAAGATCACTGTTGGATGACTGCCACTTTGCATAGCACGTTTTCACCCTGTATCCAGTCCTGGACCAAAAAGGACAATTAAAAGGAAGAGCAAAGCACACCAATGCTAAAAACATTAAGTCATGTTCTCAGAACATTAGCTGACTTAAAATCAGAAGCTAGCAGCTTTCACTCCAGGAGCTTTGGGCTTTCTGTAACAAGAGATGTGGCGACTGAGTCACGCAGGGCCCCTAACAAGCACTTACCCAAGGGCATGCAGAGGTTTTGATAAAGAAGGTCAGAACCACATCTTTACTTGTTAGCACTGAAGGAATTCAGGTTTAGTGAACAGATACAAAGAGGCAGCTAGTAATATAAATAGCAGCACTGTGCTGTGGGCAAGCAGGGCAGCATGAGATGTCCATCAAGCATAACCCCTAGAAGTTACAGATCTGTCTGACGTTCAGGTGCCCATCCTTACAAAAGTGCTGGCTCAGCTATCAAAAGGTAGGATGCAACATTTCAACGGTTTATTTATTTCATAAACGTTTGTACCGCCCAATTAGTGCTAGGCACTAATTGTTTGGGACCTTTTCATTAAGTCCTATTAATCCAGAGATAGCCGCGAAAATGCCCCTCATGACTTCAGCCTTTTATTTTGGCCTGGAAATACGCATGAGGAAGCACCATACACAGACACTAAACGAGCCTCCAACGGCAAATGTCAATAGGCTCAGATCTTTCATCTTACACTATGGCTTGGCTCCCAGATAAAGGTTTTTAAAAATGGCACCTTCCTCCTTCTCTCCACACCTAGTCCAGACTCCGATTCTCTCTCTTACTTGCTGGCTTGGGCAAGTCACCCCCAAACAGGACATTCACAGAGTGCTGGATTTATATGTCACAGATCACCAGAAAATGCATATGGAGGGGGAATATATGTGAGGAAAGGAAGGAGGGAAGGCACTAATCTGAGACACAGCCAGTTTTCAAATAATTTGACCTTTCCATTCAAACAGTAATTTGATGTTGGAAATGGCTGTCAATGCTCAGCAAGTTCCAGAGCAGGCGTTTATTAAAAAAACTGATAGAAATAAACTGAGAACAAAACCCAAGACAAGGAAACATGAGAAGAAAACAAAATGACAGTGATTGAGGAAGATGGGAGATAGGCCAGAATTCACAAGCCAGTGTCTTTTGCTACAAGGTAAGGCAAGGCAAGGCTTGCATGAGGAGTGTAATAACAACAGCTGGCATTTGGAGAAGGGTTATAATCTTCAAAGTACTCTACAGCTTCAAAGTGTTGGGAGTTTTTACCACTAATTAAATTTTGTCATATCCAAAGGGAAGATTTGTTTTACTCATGAGGCATGTGCGGCAACTGTTGAGCAACCTCAAAATTATAGGATAAACTGCTTCCACGTCTTCTCCAAGATGTAGGTCAATGTGAAGAATATCATCTCCTGCCATTTCAGGACAGGTTGGCAGTGGAGTTCATTTGTAACACCTCAGGCATGCTAGCTTTCACAGACTTTCACAGGAGCTGTTTAAGGAAAAGCTAAAACCTTGTGATAAGGCCCTCCCTCCCATCATGAATAGGGGACAGCACTGCTTTGAAACACACCAGATGGACAGAGGGTAAAGGATCAAGACTGCAGGGGGCCTATAACAACAGGCAGCTTGGGGAAAGATTAATTAGGTCATGCAGGCCATTGAACAGAGCAATCCAAAGACTGAGGAACTAGAAGCACTAAAATAGAACAATGTCCAAAACCAGCTAGATGTAAGGGTACTGCCAGGACAGCTCTAGGCTGGGACACTTTCCCCTCATTTTGGGAGAAGCAGGATGGCTTGCGATCCAGCAGATCCAAAGTGTCACCCCACCTGCCTCAGTATGCCCCCTTTCTGCCAGTAACTCTAGGACAGCAGCAAAATCAGGGGAGATTTCTGTACAAACAATGGGGCAGTCTGGGAGGGTGGGACTTCCTTGCCTGCTCATGGACTATTCCCCCCCCCCAAGCAGGGAGGGGTAGATAACAGGTTGTTTCTTGTCATGTTTATTTTTTAATTGTGATCCCTTTCCTTAGAAGGGAAAATACGGTATTAGTGTTCTACAACATGGCTCTGCACATCATGTGTCATCAAACTCTTAAGCTTGTATGCTTTTTTGCAATGAACTTGCAGACATGCAGAATACCCACAGCAGTTTGTTTATTATGTGAATAATTTTCTTCCCTCTGGTGTCTACCACATAAAGTTGACATTCCATGTCTTGGCAATACACCAGGGAACTGACAACCTATTCTCCCTCGTTAGATTTACTTTATATTTTAAATGTAATGGAACGAAACATGATGTTTTAGCAATATTCTGTGGTTGCTTTCAGAGTGCTGCGCTCTCTGTTCTTAAAAAGACAAAGTAAACAAACAAATTAAGAACTTTGGTTTCTGGAAGCTGAGGTTTTTAAGGCACCAAACTTGGTGCTTTTGCTGTGGGGCTTCTGGAGACCACAACCCATCTTGATGATCCTCTCTCATATGGCCCCTGTGGCTTGGCCTTGTCCCTTCATTGTCTATCAGAGCTGGCATCTATATCTCAGGAAGGGTCACCAGAGGGGGGTGGAGCTGCTTCCAGTCATTTTGAATGTGGTGTGTTTTGTTTTAATGTGTGTGAAGGATACAGAGTCAAGGCAGCCCCTGTTGGGGTACCCTCGCTCCCAGACCAGAGACCCAAAACACCTACAGCGAGATCCCCCGAGAGTGCACTACCTAAATATAAGGATGTGGAAGGTTTACAGACTGCAGTGGTCTCTAGCCCCAACACAGGTTCACAGATGCAAGGCAGCGTCATCACGGCAGTCTGGAGTGGGGAGAGGAGCCTCAAGGACTTGATGTGAAATAGCCTACTCCTGGCAGTTCCTGGATATAAAGGCTTTACCCGAGGGAAGGAGAGGGAATAAGGAGGAAGAAAAGACAGGAACAAAGGCAACCAAGGGAGACAACAAAAACCTTCTGGAAGGAGCGGGGAAAGACACCCTTGAGGAAGAAGTGACAGAGGCAACAGAAACAGAAAGCAAGAAAGAGAACCCGAAAGAGGAGAGTAAAGGCTTGATAGCTAAGACAGAGGGAAGAGAAGACTCCTGAGAGAACTCAATATTGAGGAAAGAGAGGTATAGGTATGGCCTCCAGGAAGTTATGATTTCTCCTATTCTAGTTGTGCATGTAAACTTGGAAAGAGAGGAAGGAATTTCCCCCAGAATGCATGGGAGTGGCTGGGGGTCTCAATATAATACTTTCATACATTCTTTTTTCTATGAGTTCCTTGACATTCTAACATTAGCAAACATATGCCTTTGCTTCTTTAATATTAATCCAATGGAGCTGACTCTGGTATCAGGACAGGATGTGATTTTTCTTTTCTGGCTGGAATCCCTCCCCGCCCTTCTTTCTCTGTCTGTCCCAAATGCTACCAGCACCAGCTGCTGGATAGCACAAAAGACCCCACACTTTAAAAGTGTGCATGTCTTCATCAGAATATCAAGGCTGAGAGGCTCCAGTGCATGGAGGTACTTCGCTATGAAAAATGTCTGACACCTAAACCAGCTTGGTACTCAAGGTACGCCAGTTCTGGCACTTACCTGGCATCATAGGGGGCAAAGGCACTGTACTCTGTCTGGCTACCGTTGCCGCATACGTCTGAGGAAGTGAAGGCTGGAGATCATTTTCTTTGTCGTCTTCTGTCCTTCCCACATCAAGCAAGCTAATTGTACAGGAATCAGGGGGAAAAAATTAAAGTTAGTATTTACCCTACCCATTGTGTGTGTGCATAGTTCATTTGAAGAGAAGTAATGAATAAACTGGGTTGGTGGAGAGGAAGGCCTTGGGTACTTTTTGATCCACTGGTTTGCCAATACAATGCATGAAGGTAAAATCATGGATATATACCGAATCAGCACTCAGGATGACAGTGGCACCTGGAAGACTGGATGGGCAATGCTTATCATCATCCTCAGAACGGCAGAGCTGGAAGAGAGCCTATGGATCACGGAGCCCGTCCCCTGACAGGGAGACACAGTGGGGGAATCAAACTCAATCAAACCTCTGGCTCTGCAACCAGAAACCTAAAACACTGAGCAATCCTTACACTGGTGTAGGCTTGCTGTGGAGGAATGGGGCGAGGGGACTGGTACAACAAGTGGCCACATCTTTTCAGCAGTGTAGACAGAAAATACATATTCCAGTAGGTATTCTTATCCATGATGTTAGTCATGTTTCCCTTCTTTAATTATGCCCATTTAGCATCATCCTACCACCTCTGAAAATAAATCTTCATTTTTTGTTAAAGATACAAAGTTATCTTATAGTTCATTATTGCTTTTTATTCACCGTGGAACAACTGCACCTTATCCCCAGTCTAGGAAAAAAAAAGAGAGAGGCCTTCCTTCACAAGCAGAAGGGAACACTTTGTTGCTCTGACACCACGGGTGGTTGTCGTTTTTTCACACTAAGCAACGGTCCAATCCCAGTGTCTAATTTCCCTGTAGCTGGCCACAACCACTTCTCTACCTTTTCCCCCTGAAGAGGAACCAAACCTAATACTGAGCAACTAGCAACACAGAGGGGTCACCAGTGCAAGCTTGAGAGGTGTCTTGAAGCATCCAGAAAGGATGGGCACAGGCTTCATGCCATGGCCAGGAGGTGGGCAGGTCAGGGAGATTTGCAAGAGACAGGCGTGCCAGAGCAGGGCCCGATTTTAATTTCCATGGTGACCTGTACATTTTACAGCACTTTACAACTTGAGAGTGCAATTAATTCCTGGGTGGGTATTTAAGGGCTTGCTCCAAAGACTGTGTTATTTACAGGCTGATTTGAATTCAAATAAAAGTACCAATGCGAGGCATGCAGGCAACTTCCTTTCACCTGCAGGCACCACACATCCCGCTATGCCTGACCAGATTACAGACTTAACCCATCAAACGGCTCTTTACCTCCAGCCAGGCAGCTCCACTCACATGAATCCATTTTGCTGCACAGATTCCTCTTTGGTGTGCATCCATCTTTGCTCCCCTTCTCCCTTGGGTGGGCACAAGCCCACAATCTGGAAGGCACCTATGGCTACAGAGAGCACTGCCTGTCTATGGCCTTCAAATTGTGTACATCCTTATAATCCCATTCAGCTGAAAGAGTCGGATGATCTCCACCTAAGCAGCTTTAGTTGCCTTTGCAGTCATATGGTTAAACTATTTGTAAGACTGAAAGAGGTTATGAACAAGGAATTCTATTCAAAGGAAATGTAGTTTATCAAGTAGATGGCCAAATTACTTCCACCCACAATACATGAAAAAGCATCAAGGAAGAGTTTTATTATGGCCTGCAGTTTTCCTCTTTATGCACCAACATTTACACCCCTGCCCCACACATTCATTTTTTCTATAATTCTGTTAACAGCAGGTATCTAACTACCTGTGTTTCTTGATTAAAACACACTCTCCTCCATCTTGAGGGTCCAGGTTGTAGAAGTAAAGGTGCCCATCAGATGTTGTAACCAAGAGCCGAGGCAGCTTTTGTATCCTATGAAAAAATGCACAGAAGGACAGCTGAAATGAACATAGGAAACTGCCTGATTTGGGGCTAACATCCTGTTGCGGCGCCATGCCAAAGGCATAAGTTTGGAGGTGAATTGCCTCAAGTTAAGAAATCTCTGTAGATTAAGTCAGGCAATTTTGTCATAGCAAATAATGCTTACAGAGATTTCTTGAGACAATTCACTTCCAAAAGTTATGCCTTTGGCAAAGCACTGGAACAGGATTTCAACCACTATGTTGGACTATTAGCTAGCAAAAGTGATTGGAAGCAATTTTCTGAAGTCTCACAAAAAGAGTTTTTCTTCTTCTTCCAAGCCTATCTTGAGATGTAGGTGATCAATCCTGCAACCTTCTGGATGTAACACATATGCTGTACTATTGAACTATTGCCCTGACTTGGTCATGTCATCTGTCTGCCTATCTTTGGCTGCTGTGAGTGCTCTTTGGTAGTTAAAGAGAAAGTTCTAATTGTTCCTGTGAAAGCAGAGTCCTTGACTGTGCAATTACTGTGTAATTCTCTCTTTAAATAAGGGAAAGTAGGAAGAAAATGAATAAGATGCTTGTTCGCTCTCCCCTTCACTCACTCACTCACACACACACACGGAACATACACATACATACACCCTGAAGAAACTACAGAACACTGGCCTGAGTCTGTAAAATGTGAACTAACAAGTTATTAATGCAGAAATTTTCACCTAAATAAAAATTTCCCAAATTTAACCGCTGGAAACAGGAGCAAGAACTCCGTCACAATGGTTGGAATGGGGCAAAAGACAGATCATTTATCTGTTAGATTCTTGCCAAGTGATCCGGCTAGGAGAATCCTCAACCTATAGAATACTATCCACTAAAAAGAAAGAATTGCAACGTACCCTTTCCCCCTTCAGACTTGGCTAATTTCACTCCTAGTCAGCCTTCACATGACCATGTCTCTCTTAAAGTGGTCACACAAATCATCATCATTATTATCATCATCTTGGAACTGCACAGCTGGAAGGGACCCTATAGACCAGCGATGGCGAACCTATGGCATGCATGCCACAGCTGGCACACAGAGCCCTTTCTGCAGGCCCGCAAGCCTAAGTCGCCAGATCGCTACCCCCCCCCCCCCGCACAGCCGAACCTGAGAAGGCGGCTGCAGCCGCAGTGCTGGCACTTCGACAGCTGAACCCAGAGCAGACGGCACTGGCAGCAGATCTGGAGGCACATTCATGCCCGGGATTTCCCCTTCCGCCACCACTTCAGGTTCCGCTGCCACCGCGACACACCGCCTGCTGGGGTTGGTTTGCTTTTTCAGTTTGGGCACGCAAGCGCAAAAAGGTTCACCGCCACTGTTATAGTCTGTCGAGTCCAGCCCTTGTCTAAGAGACACAGCTGGGGAATTGAACTCCCAGCCATGAGCAGACTCTGGAGCCAGAGACCTGAACACTGAGCTATCCAGCAGTTCAATGAAACAGCAACAGTGAACTGCGATTCTGTATTGCCTACATTCTGTCCTCAACAGAATACAAAGAAAGATTTACTCGGCAGATATTGGAGCAGTAATATTGAGCATATCTGCTGAATAGTTAGGACAGAGCTATCCTGCACAGGATGCAGCACACAGGAAAACCTGATTATAACCAGAAAAAGCTGTTGCTGTGCAGTTACTAAAGGCCAGGGGCATAAACCCAGCACCTCCAGATGTTTTGGATGACAACTCCCATAATCCTCTTATCAGCTGTAGTAGCAGCAGGTGGTGGAAAGAGTAGTCCAAGAGAGCTATAGAGCCCTATAGCTCGTCTGCCTCTACCACAGCCATACGTACGTGGAGAGCACACAGATATTCCTTTGCCCAGAGATGTTCAAACGCACGGTGGCAAAGGCCCGGTCCTGGCTCATCATTCCGGAGACTTGAGAAGGGAGGTAGTTGGTGGCAGCCATGAACATCTTGCCCATGTAGCCACTCCAGGAGGCAGCTTCTTCTGGACGGCTAGAAGAAAGAAGCTACCAGTTGAGAATGTTCCCAGTCTATTACCTGTAACAAAGACCATTATTATGGCACTCCTCTCCCCCACCCAAATACTAAAAACCTGTGACACCAGCAGCCCTTATTCTTCCCTTGTAACACTTTCTTCTTTCCCTTCTTTCAGCTCTGGCCCCAGGCTTCTCTCAGTCCAGATGGACCTGGATTCCTCCCTAGTGCCTGCAACCAAATTCTGTTCTCCCCATCCTTTCTGCAAGTCCTAACAACCCCATTCCTTAACCAGGGTGCATCTTGCTGTGTGGCTTCACAAATGGTTTTCAGCCACGGTGCCTCAGCAATGCACAAACCTCTGGTGTAGTCTCTTGCAAAAAAACTAATGTGGAATCACTTGTGAAAAATCTGTTTGAACATCCGTATGTCCAAATCCCAGTGACCAGCTGGCCATGATGGCTTAGATGTGCAGTAACCTTGTTTCTTCCTTCTGCTCCAAGCTTTGCTGGGCCAGATCTTACTGTTAGTACTTTCAAATAAGACTTCTGTTCTGCAGACATCATGTCTCATTCACAGGATTTTACCAATAATCCTGTGTGTGGCTGGCCAAATGTCTTCTACGTGAACGTTTTTCTATACCCCTTCCTAAATCTCTTTTCTTACAGCAAAACATTCTGCTAAGGAGAAAAAGATGGAAGATCTGTACAAAGCCACCTGAGTGAAATTCCATAGCTATCCAGGAAGCACACCTTGATTGCCTATAACCCCTGCAGTAGGATGCTTCCCTCTGCTTCGAGAGAGAGAGAGAGAGGTGCCTCTTCACTTCTTCCTTTCCTAAAGGCAATCAGTACTCCAATAACAGCAGTGGCTGTCAAGAAGGGGCTTGCTTGATTTAACTGGACTCCCCCTGGGATACGCAGTCCAGTCTTATACCCACCTGTCTGTGAGATGTTCCAGTTTAAAGATGTGCACAGTCTCAGTGTTGCTTGATGCACACAAAAATTGTGAGTCCATACTGAAAACAAGAGAGCTGATGTTCACATATCTAAAACCAAAGGGGAGAAAAGAGGTGGTTGCAGCTGACACAGGAGAGACCGTGGCCACACTAAGCTATGGTCAAAACAAACAAATCTGAGAGGCTGATGAGAAAGGATGGAAATCAATGCTGTATACAGATATGAACAGTGCTCCACAATGCTAGTTTTTTGTGGTCTGCAGTATCATTGTAAGCAATAAGTACAGTAGTGCAGAAGACTGGTTTGGAGAATAAGTTATGAAGCACCAGCTTCAAAGTTTCATCACAGGCATGAATTCATGTAAGCAAGTCACAGGCCCCGCATCTCACAAATCTGCTACATGAGGACAACCACTCTGCCCCACCATGTTCTGGTCCCATGCAACATTTGCAAATAGCACTCAGCATCGATAGAACTAGTGGGAATAGGCCTGCATTCTCCAAAGGATCATGAAAACTAGCCCTAACCTTGAGATGTTTTGCCAAAGCAAGTATAATACACCACTGGAAACCTTGCATCAATGCTGTGCCTGGTAGGTGCACCAATTCCCTGACAGAAAATATGACACCTCTACCATATTACTGGAAGGGAGGCAGTGGGACCACTTGGACGGCCGCCGTGTGCTATGCAAGGGTCACTCAGGCCATACAAATGCATTTAATCCCTACAAATGACACAGTTCCCAGGAAAGGACTATCTGAATGTCAGAGCTCATTGTTCTCCAAGGTAATAGGAGAACAGGGACTCCATATGCTGTCTCTAGGCCACAAGCCTGTGAGCGGCAAATTGACCTTTTCATTCCTCTTCTGAATTCATAGAGCTTTTGTCCTTCAGGGACGGAAAACACGCGGATGACAGTTCCCTGAAAGAAAAGAAAGAACGCATGATAGCCGCATAGCAGTCACGCCAAAGCAGCAGTTTGCCTTAGTGCTTTCACAGTAATGTTGACAAGGCACACCAAACGCATAACCAACACATGAGCATTTCACAGAGAATGCCAGGTACTGGAGAACAAATTAAACATATTCCAAACATTAACAGACAAGACTGAGAAAGAGAGAGAGGTTCTGATCTTAAAAGTACTGTCGTCATTCCTTCTGTTTTTGCTCCCTCCCTTTCCAGCACCTTTGCTTTTTGCAAAGTATCTCTCTTTATTGTAAACCTGAGGGCAGGGATGGTTCCATGCTATTGATCTTTACAAGCTGCTGCCCCGGAAGCCTTTTTTGGCCAAAGAATGATTTAAATATGTAAGTGGAAGTGCCAACTCCACTGAATTCAGGGAAATTTCCATCTCAATACACATACACATGAAATCACTTAGACTAAGCTAAAAGTTAAGCAAAATTTGGGGATATGAAACTCAACAGAAGCATCGTTAGATAGAATTAAGCCTCATAGATTTCAGTGGAACTAATTTTCAAGTCTGTATGAGTAAACCACAAACACAGCACATTTCTCAACAAGCTAATCATAACCTGGGACATTTAACTAGATGTAAGATAATTACTTCTTTACCAACTGTCTTAAAACAACAAAAAAGAAGAGCTTTTCTTTTCTGTAGCTCCACCATTTCAAGTGAATGGTGAGGTAACAGATGGCTAGGTAGGAAAGTAGATACAGTGGTGCCTCGCTTAACGAGCGCCTCGCTGAGCGATGAAATCGCTTAACGAGGTGCTCTGGGCCATCGCTGGAGCATTCGCTCAGCGATGGCCCCTATGGCGATTTTTCGCTTTGCGATATTCGCTAAGCGATTCGCTTAGCGAATATCGCATAACGAAGCCGGGGAGAACAGCTGATCGGCTGTTCCAAAATGGCCGCCGGAAGGTCCGCGCCGCATTTTCGCGCCCTGCCCTCGCTTACCGAGGGCGCGAAAATGGCGGCGCTATGGACGAGCCTCGCACAGCGGTGAGTTTTCAAGCCACAGGAACGCATTGAACAAAGTTCAATGCGTTTCTATGGCTTTTTTATTCCTGCACAGCGATGTTTCGCTATAGTGAAGGTTAATCCGGAACGGATTAACCTCGCTATGCGAGGCACCACTGCAAAAGTAATTTTTACATTCATTTTTCACATATAAGACAGACCAGAGTTCAGAAAGCTTTTGTCGAAATTATAACTCCCAGAATTCCCTGGCCAGCGCCCACACTGGCTGAAGGAATCCGAGAGCTGATGTTCTCTTGAGTAACATTTTCAGGCTCTGATGCAGACACAGAAATGGTCAAAACAAACCATATTGCTTTATAGCTCATGATGGGCTTAATAAAGTTAAGAGAATGCTGGAAGGGTTGAAAAGTTCTCAGTTTCCAGATATTCAAAATAAATTCTTTAAAAACGCTGCCCTGGAATGTGTTTTTCCACACTGTGGGCATGGCAAATATACCAGCCATCTTTAAAAAGGAGTAATTTGCCAAAAGAGATTTAAGTGGTTATCAAAATGAGTCTTCTGAAGTACTCCTCTTCCTGGAAAAGCCAAGCAGTCTTTTGTTGTTGCCTCAGAGGGCCACCTCTTCACCCACTCACCTTTTCCGAAGCACTTGCTAGCTTTGATCCCATGGAGTTGAAAGCGAGGGCAGCAAGGGGGCCGTCATGGGCAGAAATCGAGCACACATCTCTCTGTTAGTAGTGGTTGTTGTTGGGACGAAAATAAAATATAGTTAAAGAAGAAGCTAAAGATGATCTCCATTCATAGAAGAAAACAGTGCTGTCCAATTACAAGGTTTTCTTCAAAATATGTAAATATAACAGCACTGTTTTTTAAAGCAAATGCACCAGTCTTTCTAGCCACCTTCTACTTCTTATTATGGGTTGGGAAAAACCACCTTGTTTGAACCAGTGAACCTTTTCCTCTGAAGTCTACTCCAGGTACCACAGTGAAACATATAGGCTTCCTAAAGCAAAAGTACTGAGTTCTTCCAGGCAACAAGCAAAAGTGTAGAGAATCAAGAGTCATGTATCACTGCATGGAGCATGTTTAGGTGTTTTTGATTTGGTACCCAGCACACAAATTCTTTCTCTCCTTCCTTATGCAAGGCTGCATTCACATCATTCCAAGGAAACAGACTCTCCGGCAGTGTTCAGTTTGGGGCCTTCTTTGCCTCTCTGAAGTGCACACACTATTGAGACACAGGCCTTACAGGATACATTCTGTTTCTGCCTCATGTTCGCTGGAGACAGGATCGTGATAAAAGAGTGACGTGCTTTCCACAAAGATTTTGGCAGCAATAAAAAGCACGGTTCTCTCCAACCATGTTTTTTCTTCTTTTTGGTAATTCATTCTATTAAGCATATTCACCAAAAATAAGAATCTATTGTTGTCATGCAATTTTCTTTCTTTTTTAATGTCCAAGACATGATCACATAGCCAAATGAATGGCTTATGTAACCCTGTGATTTTATTGTTTCCCATGTGATTAGTGATTGACTGATACTACAAGTGTAATTATTCTTAAGAAGAAGAACCAGTACAGGCACTCCTCACTTAACATACCTGTTTAACAACTGCTCAGATTTACAACCCTTTATGACCCTCATAAATCCATGCTTACGTCTTCGCCATGACCCTTTATTGCTCCTTTATACACTATTATTGCTCCTCGCTTATCCACCAGTTTGATTAACAACCTAGACATAAGGACGGAACTTAGTTGTTAAGTGAGGAGTGTCTGTAATTCCAAATGGAAGGCCGACAAGAAAATAGACTAGGGAATAAATAAAAGTGATTGTTGTCACAATTTAGGAGGCTGTCAGTTTGAGACACTTTTGTACCTACCAAATTGTTCCCGTCGTACAAAACAATCTCGCCAACAGTCACACTACCGGGGTATGCCAAGTACGAATTGGAATGGTTGATAGAAAGGGCGCACAAACCTAGAAAGGGGGAAAACAGTAGTGTCAGGTGGAGATTTTGCTCACAGTATAAGCAAGCTGCTCAAAGAGAGTAGCATGGGCATGGCCTCTTGTGGAGGACCTTGCCCTGCACCGCTGAAGCGCTTTTGGCCCTAGGATGGGTTGGGAGATTGACTGGGATGACAAACAAGATTGAATTCTTCTGACTCTGGTGACACCTGCAGGTTAGCCATGGTACAACGCCATTCAGTGTCCTCACCCATACAAGGCCGCATTCTGTTTTCATCCCTCTACAAATCCATCCCCTGCTTCATATGACACAGCTTAAAGACACCACCACCCACTTTTGGACTACACAAGAGAGATGCTGCTTGGGTTCAGGGGAAATATGCTTTCGTCCAGGCGACACTGTGCTACAATTGTCATACATCCTGAATGTACACAAGGGGAAGCCCTTTTCTTAGCCCACTATGGAAACAGTGGGCTAAGAAAAGAGGCCAATCCATTAGGGAGAAAAACATATCTACAATGAGAAGGGGGGAAGGGTCAGTGCAGGGCCTGGGAAGTGACTTGACCCATGAAAACTTGCTTTTTGTTTTATTTTTGTGTGTGGTCTAATAAAGGTATCACTTGCTCTTGCATTTGTGTAATTTAAAGAACTCCCTAGATTTTCTTGATCACAGTCCTGTTTCCAGTGTCCTAAACTAAACTTGATATGCAAGGGTGAAAAAGCAGCAAGATGACACATGGAATATTGTCTCTCTTTTTTTCTGGCACAGCTCACATCCTTCCTTTGACAGTCTTGAAATCTTAATATATTCCAAAAGGACATGCCTGAGAAAGTGCAAGAGGCAGAGGCCTAGCTGAGAAATAGTTGATAGGCTCTGGTCTTGACGGTCTTTCAAACTCTGGTGTGGGATCACACAACTGAAAAATGTACCACAGAAGAGTCTCTGGAGCTGGAAACGCAAGGTGCTCAGCTAGCCATGCACATCCCTCTATTTCTGCAAATAGTATTTCTATCACATGAACTCCTAGCTCAGATGGATTCTTCCACCAGTGCAGGGTGAGACCAGAGAGACACTACACTGCTTGATGAATCAAAGGAAGACCTCAAGGTGTTCTAAAAAGGGTGGTGGATACCAGCAAAATTAAAGAAATGTGTGACAGAGAAGTAGGCTTGTAGCCTATTATATACTTCAAGAAACAGTTCCTATTTTGGTATTACTTGATGGAAGGCACAAAAGGCAGACTACACTTGAGCTTTCCAATTTGTAGACAAAAGCTTTTTGAGGAATGAGAAGAGGAGACCCACATGCTTCATTTTATAGGACATCTAATAAAAGAGTTGAGAACCATTAGAATGGAACTCCCTGTCCATCGCTATGCATAGAACTATCTGGGACTCAGATAAATGCTTGCTATAGCCACTGGCGAAATTTAAGAGAGCCAAATATTCAAGCAGCAAGAAATGCCAGGGCCCTGTGTTTTGACAGGACTCCAAGTGTTCAAAGGCCCAAGGACTCCCAAACAGGTGGTACGTGGAACTTTTCAAAAGGAAACAGGGCATAGTGTCTTTCATGCAAATGCTTGTGCCATGCTGATTGGCAAGCATTCAAGAGTAGGGCAGGATTTGCTCAGTCAGCATCTTCTGACTTTGATATCAGTCCCTCGATTTGCTCAGTCCCACTATAGTCTGGCAGCATCTTCTGACTTTGATATCAGTCCCTTTATCCATTCATGGCCAACAACTTTATCGTCTTCCACTAAGATCCGCTGTACGGGACAAGGCAACAAAATGAGAGGGAAGAAAAGATGGTTCCAGTGTTGCTCTTTGGACATTTCCTCACCAAGAAAAGTATGCATAAACGAGCCCTTAGACTTAAGGTCGGGTGGGGTGGGCCCCAAGGAGTCCATCAGCATTAGGCTGCACTGCCAACAATGAGTTGCAGTTCAACTACCTGTAAGGTCACACATTCACCCACCCCTCATCTAGAGCCTCAGTCCTGGCTCTTTACCCAGCTACTGACACATCTGGTTCCTTTCTGCTGCTTGTGCATTTCGACACAAAATTCCTTATATCCCTTCCATCCTACTCCCACCAGCACATTTAAGCATCATTGTTTCATCAATGGATACCTCAATCACAGGGAAACCTCACCCTGAATTAATCATGGAGACTTCAGATAGAGGTCTGCATACTGGCAGGTGTCACACATTTGTCAAACTCTGTGAGCATGCTTAATGAAGGAAGCAGGAAAGGGAGAGAAGAGACAGCATAACTGCGGATGTCACACGACACAGGAACATGCAATACGTGAGCCAGATAAAAGGAAGGACTGATGCTGGACAGCTCTTAGAAGAGGAAGACCTTTAGCTTCACATATACAGTGGTGCCCCGCTTAACGATTACCTTGTTAAACGATAAATCAGCTATTGCAATCGCAAAATGATGTTCCTATGGGCTTTTTTTCATTTGACGACAATCGGTTCCCTGCTTCGGGAACCGATTGTTCTCTTAATGATGATTTCCAAACAGCTGATCGGCAGGTCGCAAAATGGCTCCCTGCTGTTTTCAGCACTGATTGCTCACTTTACAGGCACCACAAAATGGCTGCCCTATGGAGGATCTTCGCTGGACGATGCGGTATTTCACCCATTAGAACACATTAACCAGTTTCTAATGCATTCTAATGGGTTTTTTAAATTCGCTTGACGACGATTTTGCTTAACAGCAATTTGAATGGAATGGATTACCGTCATCAAGCGAGGCATCACTGTATACAGAAAGCCACACAAGAACATTGAGTGAAGCCTGCTTCCTGCGTTCATTTGGATATTACTTTGGATCTAAAGAATCTCAAAGCAAAACAAACAAAACTGGCTGGGTTGTGACTCAGTTCGAACTTTTGCCTGGGACAGCCAAGCAGGAAACCAAGCTGTGAAGGGCCTGGGAAAGAATTCAGCTGCCTGGAGTTGAATTTGGGAAAGACCAAAGTGCAGAATTGCTGCACCACTGTGTAAAAAGAGCCTTCAAAGCTGAGCAGCCTCCCTGTTTAGGCTTCAGATGACGTGATATCAGCTCATTACCCAAGAGGCAAAAACAAAACATTCCTGAATATTCCATGACCGTTTTTGCAACCCAAGTGCACAATGGAGAGCTAATACAAACATGCACTTGTCCTTCTTCTGAGCTACAGCTACGTAGCATAATATGGTCTGGAGAGGAGGCAGCAACTGTCAACAAAACCATATACTGTATAGCCCTTAGACCGGAGGTGAGGCAAGCCCTCAGGATCTGTAAGCTTGGATGCCAACTGCCAAGGAAAAAATCCCCCTGCCCACCTTCTTTGCATGGCCTTGCAGCAGTTATTCAAAAGCTAAGCTGAAATACAGATTGGTACAACAAGCCCCATGACAAGCTTCACTTGAAAGCCTAAGTATTTGATTAGATTATGATTCTGCATTCTTTGAACAGAAATAGGGGGAAGTTAAGATTTTTATGGGTGGGAGGCTCTTATCAGCTGCATAAGAGACACAGTTTACACAGTCAGGTTAATACAGAAGGCCTTTCTCTGCTGTGAATAGTTATTCATACTGTTTGTTTTGTATATTTCTTTATTTGTATGTACAGTGATGCCTCGCGTAGCGAGGATTAACCTTTGCTATAGCGAAACATTGCTGAACGGGACAGGGAAAGCCATTGGAACGCATTAAACATTAAAGGCTCCTTTACTCACCGTTCAGCGAAGTTTCCTATGGCCGGCAGCCATTTTCGCGCCCTCGGTAAGCAAGGGGAGGGTGCGAAAACAGTTGTACTTTACACAGGCCCCCATTTAAGGAAATGTGTGGTGCTCCAGATATTGTTTGATGGCAACTATTACCTCCCTCCCACAGCACAGTCAGGAATGAGGGATGTTGGGAGCTGAAGTCCAGCAACTTCTGGAGGGCTTTAACTTCCCTACCCCTGGTATTGACTCAACAGAAAAGAAGAGTAATCTGTAGTGAACAATCCCAAAAAAGGGATTGCTATGCGATTTCGTCGTTGTACGGTGCGCTCGTTAAGCGAGGCACCACTGTATGAGGAAAAGTAGAGGAAAAGAAATTCCCCGTCAGTTACCCTGAAAGAGTTATGACAACAACAACAAAAAAGGTATCCAAAGTGATGGTCTTCAGGTTTGTTTCTTTGTCTTTAAAAAACAAACATACCTTATTCCATGATTCCTCTTAAAAGTTTTCTTAATATCTTAATTTTTCTTCTTTTAATTATTAACAAATATAGTGTATCTATGGAACTGTTAACATTATCAGAGGTTTATTGTAGATAATATCAGCATTAACTATTTTAGAAACATATTTAAAATAATTTTGCTATCAAGAGTTCCCTTTCTCGGTTGATGCCTTTTAAAATGCACATAAAGAATTCCATTCTCTGGTCCCTTGAAAGATGTTCCTGTGAGTCTACATTTTCATAAGCAGAGAGGCAGGCTCCCTGTGGAAAAAGGCCTGGTAATGGAGAGCTCTCTGCCCATGTCCACAACCTTTGTATTTCTTCCCTCACCCCTTAGTTTTCAGTCTTTAGTGAAGACATGAATGTTGCTGTCCTTCTTAAATACAAAGACTTGTCCGTCCAAATTCACCTCTGCTCTCTCATTCTGCATGTTTCAGCAGTGAATGGATCTGTACACTCAGTTTCCATTTTTATTAATGGGAGAACAATTCTCCATCAGACCAGCAAGAGCTGGCATAAGAAGAGCAGACGTGCAAAAACTCTCAGGGGACAGTTGTACTTTACACAGGCCCCATTTAAGGAAATGTGTGGTGCTCCAGATATTGTTTGATGGCAACTACTATTACCTCCCTCCCACAGCACAGTCAGGAATGAGGGATGTTGGGAGCTGAAGTCCAGCAACTTCTGGAGGGCTTTAACTTCCCTACCCCTGGTATTGACTCAACAGAAAAGAAGAGTAATCTGTAGTGAAACCATCTAAAATAGTTGTTGTAGGTTTTTCAGGCTGTCTGGACACGTTCTTGGGTGTTTTTTTTCCTTCCTAATGTTTCGCCTGCCTCTGGCCGTCATGTTCAGAGGACAGGAGTCAGAACTCTGTCTGTGCTCTGGTGCAGTTTGTGGGATACTGTAGTTGAGTACTAACCTGCACCAGAGCACTGACAGAGTTCTGACTCCTGTCCTCTGAGAATGCCGGCCACAGAGACTGGCGAAACATTAGGAAGGAAAACCTCAAAAACACGGCCAGACAGCCCAAAAAACCTACAACAACCATTGGATCCCGGCCGTGAAAGCCTTTGAGAATAAAGCACCATTCAAAATAGTTTACTGAAACACTGTGTAGCTTCCTCAAGCTAGAGAATCATTTAGCATCCTGGGCCACAATTTTCCAGTCTATGGGCAAAGATACAAATGTCAACCTGCTGATGTTTGCAAATGTCACGGTAGTCCTGCCACTGATGAGGAGCACTGAAATGCTTGTCCTAATACAACGTGTTCTTTCTGTGCTAGGTATGTCATTTGATAAGGGGGCAAACATAATATTTTGGAACTACCAGCAGATTGCGATACTTTGAGATACAAAATAAGGAAAACATCAGCTAAGGTTGGTCTCAGATAGGGGAGGGCAGCATGTGGATCTCTTAGGCGTTATTATGTTGAGGGTCCCATCATTCCTCAACATTGGTTACATTGGCTTAACGCTATTGGGAGTTGCAGTACAACAACATCTGGAAAACTATAGATTGTCTAAATGTATCCAAGTTTTCACAAAACTCTGCTTATTCTGGGAAAGCCTAAAAGTGGTACGGTTGGAAATACAAGGCCTCCCAGAGGAAGAACAGAAACCCAAGTGGCAGCATACTTTACTGAAGTGCCATTTTAAGGGCACCAGAGAAACTCTAGTAGCAAGACTAGAGTCTAGTAGCAAGACTGTGCTACACAAGGCAATTTCCTGGCAATTCAGACAGCATCTCAGCATCTCATTGTTCCTTTACTTGACAATAAGAGGCTTCTATTTTATCGGTGGACGCAGTCCACCATGATGGTGTGACAAAGAGTCTCTCTTTACAGAGTTCAGGATTAAGCACTGAAGTTTCCAAAGGACTGAACGCCAGAACCAAAGCCACTGAGGAAAGCAGGAAAGAGTGGCAGGAGAGAAGGGCAGCATTACTGCCATTTAATCTTCCCTGTGGTTTTTGTCTAACTCAGCTGATGCTCAAACTGTGGTCAAGCCTCTGCTGAAATGTCTTGGTTAAGAATGCTCGAGTGGTGAAGTAGCAGATTTCCTAACTGCTGACACTGAATAGAGTAGCAGAAGAGTAGTAACCAGGCTGTAAAAAAAAAGTTCAGGGGATTTTTAAATTTATGAAAAGAAAAACACCACATGATTTTGAGAATCTCTCCACCAGAACACAAAATGACCAGAGGCGAACTTTTTTGCAGTAGCCCTAGGAGAACAGTGAGCAAAAACATGTTGAGGAATGTTTAATTAACAGAAAAATATTATATATGCCTATTCAGAAGTAAACCCTCCAAACTGCAATTCCCCCAACTATATCGCTCTAGTGCAAAACTCAGTTGTACGGACTAGTCCACAGCCTCAGTCAGGAAACCGAGAGCCCAGAACATACAAGCATTATGACAAGATAAGGTATAACATGGCACAGCACACAGACCTAATGCACAGAGGCCTCTCCCTGACCCTCTCCGCAGAGGATAAAGAAAAGGAACAACTTGGCTCTAGATAGGATGGCTATAAGGACACATTTGATTCATCATTGTGTGTACTAAATTCTCATATAACCTATCTTTAAGGACCTTTACATATTTAAACTTTCTTGCAGTAGCCCTAGGAGAACAGTGAGCAAAAACATGTTGAGGAATGTTTAATTAACAGAAAAATATTATATATGCCTATTCAGACACATGGGGGGTCATACACTCACACTCCCAAGTAAATGAATATAGGACTTCATTCTCTCCATATCCAGACAAGAGGAGGAGGGGAATTGGGGTGAATTTACCACAGAGCATCACTTGGTTTAAGAGCTCACTGATTAAAGGGGCCCTTTATAATAAATTAAAAAACAAAGAATGAGCATCACTCTTGGTCTCATGCCTGAGTGGTGAATGGGAAAGATGACTTCTTGACACATTAAGCTCCCACTCCAACTCACCAAGTGTTACTAAGCTGGAAGAACCAACATTTTGACCTTTGTATGAGGCAATCAGCTGTATACTTCTTCGGCTACTCTTCTCTGTCTCAACTATCTAATGCATTCTTAAGTCTCCGGTCTGGCGTTTTTAGGCCAATCAAAATCCAGCTCATGTCACTGAGTCCCAAATGTCATCCATTTATTTCATCCACAAGGCCAGTGCAACAGCCCAACACATAACAGCTCCAGAAGCTCTTTAGATAGGCTTGCTTCAGTGAAATAGCCCGGCTGGGTACAAAGAAATTAACAAATGTGTCATTTTACACATTGGCCTACTCATTTAAGCCAAGTTGCTTTATCTGAGCCATAGATCTCAATCAGGCTGATGCTGCACACACATGGGCACATGCAATACCACAACGGGATGGGATTTTGCATCTGGCATCATGCTTAAACCAGGCCAAAGGCAAACCTCCTTGGCATTGAGCAATCACACTGTCTGAGTGGCATATTATTTATGTCTAAAAAGAATTCCAAGCTGCACTTGGAAGCCAAAGCAGACTAGAATTACAAATAGTATTTCCCCCTCCAACCATAGGCTACACTTTCTGCATAATATCTTATTCTATGATGGGCTAATCTACACAAACAGATTTGACAAGGCTCCAGCAGAACCATATTCATCCAAAAGATCACCCACTGAACCTGCAATAAAGCAAGCATGTGTAGGATTCACCGCCTAACTCCAATGAAAACAGAGATCAATAAATAACAAAGTCCTATTTAGCCCCCATCTACATCTATCCATGGAGTACAACAAAGGGTATCTCTACTCTGTGCTGCTTGGGATGCAAAAAGGTGTATTTGTCAGAAAGACAGTAGTTCTCTGTAACCAACAGACACTCCACGTACACCTTTCCTGTCTTGCTCGTGTGGAATTGACATACCAGCTTCCCCAGATTTTCAAGGAGCTAAAACATGAGCAGCTAAAAAGAAAAAGCATTTAAATTAAGGGCAACAGAATCCTGTCCACATAGGTGTATCTGAGGGGGAGGCATGACTTTGGCATACAATACATTAACTTCTCCTCTTAAAAAGTATTTTAAAGGTGTTTAGATTACATCATCGGGCACATTGTAGTAACAAGTGTTGCAACTCATTTTTTAAAACTCATTTTTTATTACAACGCTCATGGTCAAGTGATGAAAGACAAGCGTGTCTGTTTGCAGAGAGCACAACACAGAAGTGTTGCCATACTTTTTGGGGAAGGGAACACCATAAACAGAACTTTTAAAAGCACATAATTGAAACATCCTATTATTGTGCTGCGACCGAAAGGAAGGAAGCTTTGGAGAGTGAGCCGAAGGATGCTAGAGCAGACATCACAGTAGCAGTGTCTTCCTGTTGTACTCTGATCTGACTCGCTCTCCACTGAATGAATGCATCCTGACACAGCATCAGTGTGACATCTGAAGCCCTCCAAACTTCCTTCAGTTTCTAGAGTCCCCTCTGATGACTTTCTAGATTCTGTGGACTAGGTTTGTAACAGTGTCTGTAACAGTAACTAGGTTTGTAACAGTTAGCAAAGTCTTCCCCTTGGGTGCCTCCAGATGAGGCTTTTGTTGGGTTATCATCCTGCCTGGTTTGCAGAATTTTACACAAACATCTAGACAATGCTATTTTCCCTCGCATTTTATCACAGCCTCTTCCTTTTCATAACAGAAATTGGTTAAGGAGGAAAAGGCAGATCAGCTGGACAATATCTTGATCTTTCACGAGGCACCTTCTCTCTGAGAGCACCTTTGGACTTTTCCGCATCCCCTCTGCTGCTGAGGCCTCAGAAGTGGAAACACTTCACTCTTCTGGGCTGGTGGGAAGCAACAGAGGAAGATGAGCAGCAGGAAAATGGCAGCAGGGTGAAATGGGCAGAAGCATCAACAATGTCAGGGAACTGCTGACCAGGCTGAAGCTGGCTGCCACATTTCCCAGCAAAGATCGCCACCACCACTGACAAGCGCCAGTTTACACTGGCCTTCCATGGGATCAGAACAGGCTTTTGGCCTACAACTTAACTGAAGATTCACATGCAGCAATTTCTAACAATGGCAGAATAGAGAAAGAAAATAGAGAAAGAACTGAAGAAGACACCCCATCAGCTGATGAAAGAAGGGCATGTCCACTTGAAAGGATGTTGAAGAGCTGCAGGAGAAAGCTTGCCTTTTTATCTACCCTCTACCAATTTGTGACAAATGAGGAAAGCTAGTCTAACCCCAAGATATTACTCTTGTTCTCTCAAGTTACCATGAAAGCTGAAGACATAGCAAGATGAAGCTGAAAGCTGCCCAAAGACTGTCTGTTGGGTATTCTAAATAGGGAGAAGAAGCTCTCCACTGAATGAATGCATCCTGACACAGCATCAGTGTGACATCTCAAACCCTCCAAACTTCCTTCAATTTCTAAAGTCCCCTCTGATGACCTTCTAGATTCTGTGGACTCTGTTCTTTCCTTTCAACCTCTATCTACGAGCCACAGTTCATCCCTTACCTGTTGTGTTTGGGGGGGTGTCCAGGATCGTTTTCAGAAGCTTCATGTCCTTAATGTTGTGAATATAAATAGATTCCTCCAGGCAAACAATTAGTCTCTGCAAAAACAACACACAGCTTGTTATTCAGAAACAGAAAAATGCCCAGGTATCCCAGACCCAAGGGAGGGTCATCCCTTAGGACACATGGGGTACAGTCTTACTTCACACTCAGATTACAACCAGCCTGCCTGCTTTTGAGTATCTTCTTACTGGAAGAGTAAGCCGCTGCCTCTGTCCCTCATGCTGAACTCCCAGCTTCTCATATTCTGTGAATGTGTGTAAGAGAAAAAAAGTGTGGAAGGGGAAGAGGGAAGCATCTGTAAGAAGTGTTTCTGGACAAGGGGCATTTTATGTTCTTTGCCTGAGTTGCAGAGTGACAGAACAGGGTGGTGTGTAGCAGCATTTCACTGAATGCCTACCTCTCTGTATTTGTGTGAATGCTTGCCTTCCTATCTGCCTGCCTCTGGATGTGAGTGAGTTTGCATGTGTACAAACACCCACTTTTCTCCTGGCTGTGTTTTCTTCTACCTGGCTCTGCCCACCATCAGCTGCTGTGCCTTTCAGCCCACCAACTACAACAAGCATTAGCCATCACTATCTGGAGATCATAAGCACATTCCAGAGATGTCCACAGCCCAACTCAGATACAAACTGCTGAGAAAAAAAGGCATCTAGAGACATGCAGTAAAAAACGGAAAGAAAAGAGAAATGTTCTGTACCACCTCTACATTTGACCTCAAACATTAAGCTACTGCTTTACTGTACGAAGAGGTGGAAACAAATTTGTGAACAGTGATATGTCAGATCACCTCCCATCTTGCTTCCACACCTTCCAAAAGCACTGTAACTCAAAAGCCAAGGTACAGCCTTCCACTTTACCTGCCTGGATGGCCCTTCTGTATAACAGAAAGCACACCTACTCACGATGACAGAGAAAGTAAAACTCCAATGGGCAGGGGGGAAAACAGGGCATCCCCACATGCATTTAACATTCTTCTGAGCTAAAGACCCACTATCTAGTATTTCAGAACATGAGGTTAGTACAACATAGAAACAGGAATCACACGAGCCAAATAGTAGAAATAACAAACAACGGTGGTGACATTGCTTATATACAGTAGGGAATTGTACTGATTACCTGTTTGATTATACTAAGTGCTTTCTCCTCATAACATGTACATTAGAGCCCAGTTTGGGAGATACACTTTCAATATCTAAAGTGAATGTCAGTAATGGAAGGAGTGCTGAATTGGCACTATGGGATTAAAACACTTCCTGTAGTTCTAACAACCAAAAAGCCTGCTTAACCTGCATACTGATAAAAGGGAATGTTAAAACACACATTTTGCTAACAACAGAGCCAACACATCCTATACAGAAGCTCTAGAGGTTTCCGAGAACCTCTGTGCAGGCGCAGTATAACCCATTTGTCTGCATTCACATAGACCACAAAGAAAAAATATTCTGTTTAGTCAAGAGTCACACTCAAGACACACAGTGAAAGCATCGTAAGTGGACACAAAGTGGTCAAACTGAGTCATTTCAGTGAAGTCTTCCAAATAACACATCACTGACACTTTCCACTCTCTCATGCTTTATTATACTCTGATTTTTAAAATTTCCTGGGGAAAAAAATCTGCTATACGAAACAGAAAAAGTATCCCTTGGCCATATTTTCTGACAGCTCAAAACCTTGCATTTTCTAACTCACTTAGCTTTCACAATTTTCTATGAATACTAGTTCCTCAAGTAAGAAATATATGTTATCTTGTCAAGTCTACCGTTACTGGGATGGGGACGTTGTCATTGTATTCAAAACTTCCATCAAGGTTAGCAGACTTTCTGCCCTGGCCTGCCCTGGTCTTGAGTGCCCCATCTGGCTATGGACCATGGGGACAGATTAGGGGCAGCATTGGTGTATTGCTCTCCCCACAAAGCAGCGCTGTCCCTACCAAGGCGGACAGACTTTGTCTCTGAGGCACTGGTGCTCCTGGGGAACTTGAAATTCATGCACATTTTATTTATTTATTTATTTGATCTTTACCCCACCCCTCTAGACAACGCCTACTCGGGGCGGCTAAGGCATTGTCTACTGGTTTTGGCGCTCTACTTCATGGAATCTATGACATCTATGGGGCTGTCCCAACAAGTGAGTGGTCCCACACACATGGGGGGTCATACACTCAACCTTGTATTTTTGGCTGGTCAGGGACAGTATGCTTTGAGGGTGACCAGGTGTTCTTCATGCGTCCTGTAATGGTCAAATCATCACCTGCTGAAATGTGATCTGGCAATGCCAACACCCCTTTGCGGGGAGAAAAGGCCAATTAGAAGGGTCCGCCCATGGAGGCTATTGAGTCCAACTGGTTTCCAAGATGCCTTTTGTGGGTTTCCAGATGAGCTGGTTGGCGTGGGTGTTGAAGCCCAGGTTGCAGAACAGTACTCAGCTGCAATCGGGGCAGCTGACTCCATTGCACCAAAATGTCTTTTCTGTGTCAGGGCTCACCCCTCTGCCTGGTTTCCGGAGGAGTTGTGAGCCATGAAACAAGTTAGGAGAAGGCTCGAGAACATTTGGAGAAAAGCTCCCATTGATGCTAATCGGGCTGCAGTAAAAAAGATATCTGGCAAATACTGTAATGCCATACAGGCCGCTAAGAAGGCTTATAACATCAGACATATCAGTGAGGCAGCTAACCACCAGGCGCAACTCTTTAGAGTGTTCCGCAACCTCATTGGAGCCAGATGACATCTGGGGTCTCAGCCAGATGTCACTACTTGTGAGCAGTTTGCAGCCCAGTTCCGCACTAAGATTGAGGTGATCCGTAGGGACCTTGACTCTATTAGCACAATATGTCATGTTGATATGTCCAACACCATCTTGTCCAGTTTTATTGGATCAGTTTCAGCCTGTGTTGCCTGATCATGTGGACAAGGCACTTGTGCACTCTAAGGCCGCCACCTCCCAATTAGACCCATGCCCCTCCTGGCTCTTAACATTGGCCAGGGCAGTGATGGTTGAATGAGCCACTCAGATTGTGAACTCCTCCTTACAGGAGGGATATTTGCCCCGTTTTGAAGGAGACAATGATCCGGCCCATTCTGAAAAAAGTTAATTTGTCAACTGATGATTTAAACAACTATCGTCTGGTTGCTAACATACTGTTCACTAGGAAACTGACTGAGAGGTTGGTGGTTAACCAGCTGCAAGCATACTTGGAAGATACTGATAGTCTGGATCCATTCCAATCGGGCTTCAGGCCACATCATGGGACTGAGAGGCTTCTGGTCGCTCTACTAATGACTTATTACGGGAGGCTGACCAGGGGAGTGTGACCCTGCTGGTCCTCCTAGACTTCTCAGCTGCCTTTGATACTGTCAACCACAGTATCCTCCTGGAACAGTTATTAAGATTGGGGATCAGAGATCTAGTGCTATGCTGACTCCGTTCCTTCCTCAATGGCTGATGGCAGAGAGTTCAGCTTGGGGAAGCTGTTTCCTCCCCATGGACACTACAATGTGGTGTTTCACAGGGGTCGATCATCCCCCCCCTTGCTGTTTAACATCTACATGCAGCCACTGAGAGAGGTCATTCGGAGATTTGGAGTTTGCTGTCATCAGTATACTGATGATACACAACTCTATCTCCTTTTCCTCTTCAGCAGGGGAAGCTGTACAGAGATCCTGTTGTTCGGAGGGCATCCTGATTGGTTAGAGGGCCAGTTACCTGACCTTGATGGGGCCACACACACCCTGAAGGATCAGGTGCAAAATTTGGGTGTACTTCTGGACCCAGCCCTCTTGATGGAGAAACATATCCTGGCTTTCTCCATCTGAGGCAGATTGCACACCTCCGTCTCCTTCTCAACAGGAGATCCCCAATAACACTGATTCATCCGTTGGTAATTTCGAGGACTGACTACTGTAATGCTACATGGGGCTACCCTTACTTGACAGTGGTTCGGAAGCTGTAGCAAGTGCAAAATGCAGCAGCCAGTTTGGTCACTGATGTTTAAATGTGACCATATTTTGCCTCTCCTGTCTTGCCTGCACTGGCTGCCAGTATGCTTCCGGGCCAAATTCAAGGTACTGATGCTAACTTATAAAGCCCTTTATGGTTTAAGACCTTGCTACCTGTCAGAGCGCCTCTCAGAGCCACAAAATTAAAAGGCTTCTTGGCAGGAAAGTAATGACAAACCTAGACAGCATCTTAAAAAGCAGAGACATCACCTTGCTGACAAAGGTCCGCATAGTTAAAGCTACAGTTTTTCCAGTAATGATGTATGGAAGTGAGAGCTGGACCATAAAGAAAGCAGACCGCCGAAGAATTGATGCCTTTGAATTGTGGTGCTGGAGGAGGCTCTTGAGAGTCCCCTGGACTGCAAGGAGAA